GAGTGTGTGGGTGTGGGCGGGGGTAGCTGTGGGGGTGTGTGTGGGTGTGTGTGGGTGAGTCTGTATGCGTGTGGGTGTGGGGGGTGTATGGAAGTCCGGATATGGAGGCGTGGGGGCAGGAGTGGGCGTGAATGTGGGTGCGGGGGTGGGGAAGGCGTGCGTGTGTCAGTGCGCGTGGGGCCCGGCCGCAACCCCCCGGCCTGTCCAGGCCGGAGCACTGCGGCCCCGCTGGGCTTTGCTGCGGCGCGAGGCTCTTCCAGGTGCTCTGGACGTGCGGGGGTGGGGAATCCCCCCCGGCCAAGTGGGGCGTACTTTCCCCTCCAGCTGTGGGAGCGCAGCACCGAAGCCAGCTCTCCTCACTGTCAGTCCACGCTAAGTTTCTTTTCCCGGGCTGATACCCGATGCGGTCCCTTGAGACGCGGCGATCTCTGTCCCCCCGCTCCCCAACAAGCCGCGCTACAAAGCCCGAGGCCACCCCCGGCCCGGCCGAGCCCCGAGCCGCAGCGCCAGGCTGGGAGGCTCTCGGAGCCGGGCAGCTCGTCCAGGCAAGGGAGTATTTTGTGATGGGTGTCCCAGTGGTGCCCACCCCCTTCTGCAGACTGCGAGGTTATAACCGCTGCATCCCTGCGGCCCTCAGCTCGGTGGGGCTGGGGCTATACGAGTTTCCTGCTCCAAACTGATCAATCCTGATGCGAGCGTCTTCTCTGGCCAAGCACGAGCTCCTTCCTCCCACCCTCTTTTTTCTTCCCCCGGGCCTAGAGGTGCGGGTGGGGGGTACTGCTTTTTAACAGCATTCGCCCACCCCGAGGAAAAGAAGAAATTCAGTGGAAACTTGTCTCCGAGAGATCGCGAATTGTACTCACTTCAACTGCAGAAAGGCAACAGCTCGCGGCTCTCCATCAGCCGGGGCTGAAGAAAGACCTTTCTTATTTGTAAACTTTGCCTTTTTACCAAGCAACAATACATAATCAGTGTGTGTGTGTGTGTGTGTGTGTGTGTGCGTGCGTGCGCGCGCGCAACTCCCGAAGTGAATGCCCCAGGGATGGCAGAGGAAATGATTTCTTCTTTGCACATCTTGTAGAAAAGGAAAATAATATTTGTTTCATGAATTTTGACCCTGTTTCCTCCTGTTTATGCATGCCCCTAATTGTTCCCATTTGAGCGGGTTTGAATTGCAAACCGGAGCAAAAGAGATGCTTTCATCAGAAGGAAGAGAATGGTTTTAATAGGGACAGCGCCGTAGTCTGTGTAATAAACACCCTTCTCTATTTGAATGTAAGCAACACTAAATTCAAGTCCAGAAGGCTCAGATTTAAACCTGTGTCAATAAAGCACATCAGAAGTGGGCTTTCAGAAGCCCTAAAAGCAGCCAGTAAGGACATCTGACAAAGGGAAATATTCTTAGAAATGAAACCATTCTTGTCTGGGTCGCATTCACATTCATACACGGGCGCGCACACAAATACTCCGCCGGAGGTCTGAAAATTATGAAAGAAACACGAAGGAGCTGGGAAAGCAATGTGTGGCCGTGTAAAAAAGTATTCTGATAGATAGATAGATAGATAGATAGATACTTTTTACATGTATAGGAACATATTTTTGCATACGTATAAGAATAATTTTACATATATACACACATATGTGTATACCCACATATATATAACCCTATATATATATATATATAGGGTTATATATATGTGGGTATACACACACACACATATGTGTGTGTTTTTCTCAAGCCCACTTCAAATGGGAAATCCGCTTTTATTATATACACACTTTTTTTTACACTATACACACTTTTTTGTGTGTGTGTAATAGAAATACACACACAACTTTAAATACACACACATATCTATAAGGGAATGCACATATACACACACAAACGCGCGGGTGTGTAAAAGAGGGATCTTCCATTTAAAGTTACCAATCTGCATTTTAAATGAAAACCTATATTTAAAGCAGGTTTCGAAAATGTAGGGGCTGCCGAGTTGAACGAAAAGGTTCCATAATCTACTTGGCTGCTTCGTGGCGCGTGTTTCTGTGAACCAAAAAGAGTTGGTTTTGCAAATCACACGCATATTTAGACAGCTTTAACTGGGAGAAACCTTTCCACCCGCTTTCCTCTTCCACCAGCTCCCTGCACTACAACGGACTTTCAATTTCGATCAAGTTATGATAATTTATGGCTGTTTATAAACAATGTTAACAATCCGATTGTTGTTTTTTTTTTCTGGAGAAGGTGCATATGTGCTAGGAGCCTTTTCTCTAAGGAATATCCTGACACACACAACCCCACTATGTAAGCCAGTTGAAATCTGCAGGGCAGCGAAGATGCTGCGAGGAGACCCTAGTCATCACAGCTGAATACACCGTATAAACTGGAGCTAAAAATTACCTTTCCTGCGACAAGAGTAAAACAAAATCGGGTCCTTAGTTAAATAAATCCAGCCCAAATATGCGGAGAAATAGGGGATTTTTCTAAGTAGCATCAAAATGGCCCTTGCACTGAAAGAGATAGGGTCTTGAAAGCAACCATTATTAACACTTCTTAGCCACATACATTATGAAGCTGCTTTTAATAGAGCGTTTCTTATGTGTGGGAAAGAAACGGGTGTGGGGCGGGGGGGAGGGGGAGTGGAGGCATGGGACATTTCAGCAAACTAAATCCAGCAGCTTGAGCGGGTTGAAATATTGAATTGTAACCCACGGCGAGGGAAGCAAATATCTTGGTGAAGAAAGTTTTGTCTTGAGTGTCAGATCCTCACCTTGAAATT